CCGCTCACAGCCTGTTCCCGCAGCTGGAGGTTGTGGAGCGCGAGGGTGATCGCGTCCAACCCGCGGCGCTGCTCTGTGGTGAAGTTGGAGTAGGTGGCCGCCGCTGCCAGGGCAGCCCTCGTCACTGGCACCACCGCCGACGTGGGCATCGCGGAGGCCTCATCAGGCGCCTCGGCCGTCGCCGTGGGGCCTCCGTCCGAGGCACCTTCAGAGGCAGCGGCACTGGGGGCGGCCCCCGTGCCGCTGCCTCCGTCGGCGCTTTCGGCAGGCGTCGCTGATCCCGTGGGCAGTGTCGGCGCCGTCCGAAAGGTCGCCGCCTCAGACATCACGTCGAACCCCTCGTCCGAGACATCTTCGCTCTCCGACGCGCTCACCTGCTGGCCAGGGCGCTGCGCAGGCCCCGCTTTGGGAGTGGGCGCGTCGGCCGCGGTCGCACCGCTGGCCTTCGCGCGCGCCTCGGCCTTCGCCATAGCCTTCGCCACCAACGCCTCGCGAAGAGGCGCCGCATCGTGACTGGGCGAGTCGGCATGCGCCACCGCAGGCCACGGCATCGGCGCGGGCTTCGAGAACTTGGGCGCCATCACTTGGTTGTAAGGATGGCACGGGAGGTGCAGCTCGAGAGATCGTGCGAAGCGAGACCTCACGAGCCAAACAGCTGCCGAGGAAGAGAGGGGGGGGAGAGAGGCTGAGGCTGAGGCTGATGCAGGTTGAGGCTGAGGCAGGCTGAGGCTGAGGCCGAGGCTGAAGGCAGATTGAGGCTGAGGCTGAAGCAGGCTGAGGCAGGCTGAGGCAGGCTGAGGCTGAGGCTGAGGCAGGCTGATGCTGAGGCAGGCTGAGGCTGAGGCTGAGGCTGATGCAGGCTGAGGCTGAGGCAGGCTGAGGCTGAGGCCGAGGCTGAAGGCAGACTGAGGCTGAGGCTGAAGCAGGCTGAGGCTGAGGCTGAGGCAGGCTGAGGCGAGGCTGAGGCAGGCTGAGGCTGCAGGCTGAGGCTGAGGCAGGCTGAGGCTGAGGCCGAGGCTGAAGGCAGACTGATGCTGAGGCTGAAGCAGGCTGAGGCTGAGGCTGAGGCAGGCTGAGGCTGAGGCTGCGGCAGGCTGATGCTGAGGCAGGCTGAGGCTGAGGCTGAGGCTGAGGCAGGCTGATACTGCGGCAGGCTGAGGCTGAGGCCGAGGCTGAAGGCAGATTGAGGCTGAGGCTGAAGCAGGCTGAGGCTAAGGCTGAGGCAGGCTGAGGCTGAGGCTGAGGCAGGCTGAGGCTGAGGCAGGCTGAGGCTGAGGCTGAGGCTGAGGCAGGCTGAGGCTGAGACAGGCTGAGGCTGAGGCCGAGGCTGCAGGCAGACTGAGGCTGATGGTGAAGCAGGCCCAGGCTGAGGCTGAGGCAGGCTGAGGCTGAGGCTGAGGCTGAGGCAGGCTGATGCTGCGGCAGGCTGAGGCTGAGGCTGAGGCTGATGCAGGCTGAGGCTGAGGCAGGCTGAGGCTGAGGCCGAGGCTGAAGGCGACTGAGGCTGAGGCCGAAGCAGGCTGAGGCTGAGGCAGAGGCAGGCTGAGGCTGAGGCTGAGGCAGGCTGATGCTGAGGCAAGATGAGGCTGAGGCTGAGGCTGATGCAGGGTGAGGCTGAGGCAGGCTGAGGCTGAGGCCGAGGCTGAAGGCAGGCTGATGTTGAGGCTGGAGCAGGCTGAGGCTGAGGCTGAGGCAGGCTGAGGCTGAGGCAGGCTGATGCTGAGGCAGGCCTGCGAGAACAGCGGAATTCTACAACAGGATTCTCATGTGAATCTTAAGGGGAATGCTTCCAGATATGCTCCTATACATCGCTGTTAGGTTGCTTTGCCGGGATAATACTGTTTGCGGCAATCTAGGATCTTATTCCGACTCGCCATCTTATTCTCAGCTCGATCGGTGAATATTGCCCAACAGCGAAGACTGATAGGTTTCTAATGGGGCCAGAATAGAGCATCTGATGACTCCCCAGGGGGGTCTGGGCGGGAGCCGGACAGGCGAGAACCGGGCTCGTTTTAAGGAAACAGTCGCTCACTTCGTGCTCTTCGACCTCCCAGAACTTTATTCCCGGGCGACATTTTGTATGCCCGGAGCCAACTGTAGGCCATTTCGTGCTCTTCGACTTCCCAGAACTCCATTCCCGGGCCTCATTTTGGATGCCCGGAGCCAACTGTAGGCCACTTCGTGCTCTTCGACTTCCCAGAACTCCATTCCCGGGCCACATTTTGGATGCCTGGAGCGAACTGTAGGCCACTTCCCAGACGCTCACTCTTCACTATAAGGTTAGTGATCCATTATAGATTAAATATTCGTTACAATATTAAACATATGTCAATAATATTGTTATAATACAGATTTCCATATAATATATTCATGGGGGCAGGGGTCGGCACACGTGGCGTAAACCTGTACAGATAGTCGGCGGACGTGGCGTAAGCCTGTCTATATATGTACATACATACACACATGTGAGTGTTTGCGCGAGTGTGCGTCTGTGTGTGAGCAACGGTACACAGGCCTGCGGCCCCAGATTTTCCAGCTGCTAGCGCTCAATGCCAAACGCATCAGGAGCGTCTTCCGTGAAATTTAGCAACAACCATTTGCTGAGGGAAGCTGTGGCCAGCGTACGAACATGGCACGACTCCCCGATGCCCACAAGATCGCCGACCAGGTTTTCGTCGGCGTAGCACCAGTACGATTTGGGATTGAGACGAAACTCTGGAATTTGCCATTCTAGCAAGTGCGCAAACATGTGCAATTTCGGGGTCAGTTTCCAGGCCTTTGTTTTCACTCTGAGCGCGTCTCTTGCTAAAGAGGCGTAGATCTTTGGAAAAAGGCCGCCGATGAACACAAACCTTCTCACAACGTCGTCATCGAGGTAAAGTCCGTTCGAAGAAATCATGTCGTAAAATTCCACGAAAAGCTGCGCAAGGGCTATCACCCTCTGGTCATCGACCTCACGCTGTGCCAGATCCAATGCAAAATGCACAAGGGCTCGTGTGGAAGCACCTTTCGCTTTCAACTTAGGAAGCCCGCTCTCGCTTCGAATGCGAGCCAATGATAATTTTCCTCGTAACATGTTTTGTTTCCCCCTCGCTCTGTACCATCTGACGCATTCCTCGCCAAGGGCACTTACTCTGTCATCAAGCAGGCCACCTCGCCTTTTCAAGCACACCATGATAAAGATATTGCCAACGACGTGGCATGTGATACCTAGGTCGCACACGTGTAGTGTGTCGATTGCGACACAGTTGAGTATCAGCCCGCATGTCAATTTGAAGAGTAGTGGTATATCTCTACCCTTTTATGGCGCATTCGGCTAACCACGAAGCATGTGTCATCCGAGTCTCGCGCAAACCAGCATCTCTGTTAAAGTTCCCATACAGCAAGTTGGGAGTGCTACTGGAGGCGAGGCACATCCAACAGTTATTGATTTTATCGTTCCAGTGAGCAAGCTTGAAGACGCTGTTCAGGAACTCCCCATCCCCGCGCACTTTCACGAGGGTCCCACGATAGCCCTCTGCAATAAGCTGCCCACCTCCAGGCCACGGCTTCATCTCCCAATTTTTATATGATGCCACGCCACACAGCAATTGATTCATTGACCTCGCAAAGACAGTCCACAGAGCATCGAACGTGCCGTCCACCATATCTGCTTTTCTAAAAATGGTATAGATGAAGGGCGGAGTGAAGCCCTCACCAGCGCCGCCAGATACCAACGAGTTGAATGATAGCACAAATAGCGAGCCTTGTTTCGAAAAGGCCCCCCCGTCTCCGTGGAGCCCAAGGGGGATTGTCATGCGTCTGCTTCCCTCTGGCAGCAACGGGTGATTCGATACAACTGGGGAGTCTTTGATGTGAGTCCAGAACTTCATAGCCTCGTCTGGTGGCCCTCGCAAGCCTTGCTCCCACACAGGGAGCCTCTCTGCAAACAGTTTGCCGAAAAACTCGTGCGGTAGTAGCACAGGGTGAAGTATGCGACCCCGAGTCGAAGGCACGTGTACCCAAGTGTATTTTGGAGTACCCCGAGGGGTTCCGAAGAAATTGAATAACGCACGTTGGAAATTCTGATGGTGTTTCCCAGATGCCCCTGCCGAAGCAAGCTTGCTCATTCCAGGGGTACCTTGTTTGAAAGCTGCATCTGCAAGTTCGTACACTGCTGCACTCGAGAGGTCTCCTTTCGCCCAGCGGCGTAACAGTACACGATTGAGTGGCAACGAGTTGTCTGGTTGGCTTGGCTGACCACTGGCCCGATCGATCCTTCGACACAAAGGCCCACGTGGCGGCTCAGAGCAAGCGGGCACCGTTTCGCATAGAGTGGTGAGCTCGGAACTGGCGCGATCTAATCTTCTCTTGAGCGAGTTTGATACGATCTCCGAGCTCATTATGTATAGGAAGCATATGTAGTGTCGCATCATTGTCATCGCAAGAATTAAGCCAAAGCGGTTGCAGACATGGTGATGATGATGACGATGATGATGGCGATAGTGATGATGATGTTGTTGTTGATGATGATGGTGATGGTGATGCTGATGGCGATGATGATGACGACGTGGTCATGCTTATGGTTGTGGTGATGATGATGATGATGATGGTGGTGATGATGATGATGATGATGATGATTGTGGTAATGGTGATGGCACTGCTGATGATCGTGCTGGTGATGGTGATGGTGATGGTGATGGTGATGGTGATTGTGGTGGTGATGGTGAATTGCTTGTTTGCGTATCGGTACTTGCGTTTAAGAAGCGATCGCAATGTCATTCAGGTGTCCCCAGCTTGGCCATCATGATGCTACTTTTGTCGAAGAGTTGTGGTCTGAGCTCTCTCTTTGCGCATACCCCCTGTCATGACTGTGCGTTCTACCCCGCGGCAAGTTGGAGAAGGAGGAGGGGAATGACGAGGATAGGGAGGTGTGAGGAGGGAGAGGCGGGAGGAGGAGGAAGGAGGAGGGAGGAGTGCATGTTATGCACATGCTGAGCTCAGCATGTCCCCCGTTCTGCTCAGCGCTTGCGCTTCTTGGGCCCGCTGGTCTGCACGCCGAACCTCTTCGCAGCCTCCTCGACTTTGCCGAACTCGTCAACGATGGCGTCGAAGGTCTTCGTCATCTTGTCGATGGTATCGCGCCCCTTATCGGCGTCAGGATCGACGATGAGCGCCTCCACGAGCTTCACCATCCTCGTGATTTTCGGCGTGAGCTTCTTGTAGTCGCCCTGGAGCTCGGACGTGTACTTGATGCTCTCCAGCGCTTGTGTGTTCTTCTTGCAATCGGTGACCATCATCAGCAGCTGCGTCACTCACCATGTCGACGTCGGCATCGTCGGCATCATCCTTGACGTGGTTGATGCTGGACGTGGACACCTCCATCCCTTGAAGATCAGTGTAGGACTCCTTGAGGTAGTACTCCTGGATCTCCTTCTCCGTTGACCCTGTCTGCGTGCATGGGCGAGTCGTCACAACATTCTTCTCCAAGAAGAGTTCGGCCTTCTTCTCGCCGAGCACGTCGCAGAACTTCTTCCAGCTCACCCAGCCAGTGATGGTGTGTGACCGCTTATCGGTGCCTGTTTTGTAAGTCGAGGTCTGCCCAACCTTGGCCTTCTTGTCGCGAGCCTGCATCACCAAGAAGTCGAGCAGATACTGCTTACGCTCCTCCCCCTTGCTGGCCATGACGTCCTGCAAGAGGCCAGGGTTCGTGGTGCCGCCGCCCTTCTCGATCAAGTAGTACCTGAAGCTGGCCAGCACAGCCCTCTCCTTCTTCTTGGGGTCCTGGCTGCGATCCAGGATCTCCTTGGCGTGCTGGACCTCTGCCGCTGTCGGAGCCATGCCAAGCCAGCCCTTGTCACCCGCGGGCATATCCGACAACGATCGATGTCGGGCGCGGTATGTAGACAGCTTGGGCCAAAAGCTACCAACAGAAATCAGAAACTGAGTTCTGATTTTCTGATTTTCTGATGTTATGATTTCATTGTTTTCGTATATAGATATATGGTTTCATATGTTGTAATCAGAAAATCAGAAAATCAGAAATCGTTTTCTGATTTTTCTGATTGCGTTGAGCTGCATCATGATATTCAGAGAAAGCGAACCCAAGTGAGGACGTCACGGATGCTGGGCCCTCAGCTCTCCTGTGATTGTTGGGCCCTCGTTGCCTCTCCGCAGCGCCGCGCGTCTCAGTTTCTCCCCTTCGTCCCCTGCCTCCTCGTCTTTTTTGATATTTGTTCAGACCGACAGACCGGCTCCTCCTCCTCCCTCCTCCGCCTCCTCATTGCCTCCTCCTCCTCCTCCTCCTCCTCCCCCTCCTCCTCCTTCTCCTCCTCCTCCTCCTCCTCTTGGGGGTGGGGTCAAGACCGATTTTGAGCGAGGCTCGGGGGATTGCCGCGTGCGGCCCGTCTCGCGCCCCACTGGGCACCTCGATGCGTGGCCGCGCTGACGGGCAGCCTGGAGGATGCGGAGGAAGAGGAGGAGGAAGACGAGGAGTAGGAGGAGGAGGAGGAGGATCAGGAGGAGGAGGAGGAGGAGGAGGGGGAGGAGGACGACGCTGAGGAGGAGGAGAATTTCGTTTGCCCGATACCCCAGGAGTCGTTTCTCTGGTTCGATACCGCAGGAGAAGGAGGAGGAGAATGAGGGCGAGGATGACGAGGAGGACGAGAAGGACGAGAAGGACGAGGAGGAGAAGGAGGCGAAGGAGGAGGAGGAGGAGGAAGAGGAGGAGCTTCGGGCCCTTCGAAGGGAGGGCGAGGACGACGCTGAGGAGGAGGATGAGGACGACGCTGAGGAGGAGGAGAATTTCGTTTGCCCGATACCCCAGACGTCGTTTCTCTGGTTTGCCCGATATCGCAGCAGGAGGAGGAGGACGAGGAGGAGGAGGACGAGGAGGAGGAGGACGAGGACGAGGAGGACGAGGAGAAGGAGGAGAAGGAGGAGAAGGGGGAGGAGGAGGATGATGATGATGAGGAGGAGGAGGAAGAGGAGGAAGGAGGATGATGAGGAGGAGGAGGAGGAAAAGGTTGCTGAGAATGCGCGACATGGTTCTAATCACGTTGAAACATGTTGGGGGAGGAGGAGGAGGAGGAGGAGGAGGAGGAGGAGGAGGAGGAGGAGGAGGTAGCGTGCTGCGCGCACTGGTAGCCAACCCTCAGTCGGCTTTCGCTCAGCACTCGCGGATCTTGCGGCTCACGCAGAAGTCGGTGGAGAAATCGTGGCCTTGAAGGCGCTGAGCTCGTTCATCAGGTCGAGCGTCTGATTCTTGATGTTCTCGAGGTGTACGGTCCAGGAGGTGGTCTCAGGGCCATCTGACGTGGCGTGGACAGTCGAGACGAAAGTGACAGCCTTCTCGATCCAGCCACCGATCGCGCCACGAATCTCCATCATGTACTTGTCCTCGCCAAGCTCGACCACCATGCCATTGGCCACCACGATACCGTTCTCCAGGTCGTGTAGTTCAATCTTCGCCAACTCCATGAATGCCGAGTAGGTCAGCATATTCGAATCCGTCGGTGGCGGTGAGTCTTCGACGACATGGACATCATCGTCGAACGGATCCGATACGCTCATGTTGTCCTGGGTTGCCGCTGGATTTCCCATGAAGGCGTCCAATGGTGTGTCTGGCAAGCGTGGGCCATCAGCATGGGGCTGCATGCTTTGTCGATGGCCTCTGAAGTCGCTGGACTGCTCGGGCTTGGGCCAGACTGGCTACGGGAGTGGGAGGTATAAAAAGGGGAGCCCGCTGGACAACACAACTCAGAAACGTAAAACACCGACGCCTCACGAACAAACTTGGGGTCGGAGTACCCAGCCCTCTAGATGATATGACTCGTAGGCGCACCAGCTCCAGATCGAACAACGCACGCGGGCTGTTTCAGGTGTGCCGTTTCGGTGGATGAGGGGGTAGAACGACGACGACCGTACGGGGGGGGCAAAGACAGCCTGCCAGCCCATTGGGCACTCGCGCGAGGACACGGCCATGAAAACTCACACGGCTTGATGGCGATGGTGACGGTTATGGTGAGTGGTGGTGATGGTGATGGTGATGGTGATGGTGATGGTGATGGTGATGGTGATGGTGATGGTGGTGATGGTGGTGGCGATGACGGTGATGATGATGATGATGATGATGAGGATGATGCTGATGATGTTGCTGATGATGTTGATAATGATGATGATGTTGATGATGATGTACATTATGGTGATGACGATGGCAATGTTGCCGAGTGGAACGTCATGTGTCTTGCTGCGCACACTAAAGATGATGATGGCGATGCTGTCGATGATGACGATGTTTTTTTGCTCTGCTCAGTTGGACACCTGTCACGTGTCAATTTCTGCGAGCATCTTCGCACAACGATCGCGTGTAATCTGTCGAGCTCTCTCTTTGGGAACACCCTTACGAATCAAAAAGTTCATTGTGTTGCGATAGATGCGGTTGTGGAGCCTGGTTTTCATCACATTCCAATTGACGGCTGGATCTATCGATACGTCTATTTCTGGAAACTCGTCTTCATTCAATTCACTTCGCCCTCGCCCTCGGGGTGTGCTGGGTCCTCTGACGGGGGTTCTGCAGCTGCAGGCTTTTTTCCTACAGCTTGTGCACGCTTTTTTCCTGCAGCTCCACTCGTTGCAGCTGCAGGCCTCTTAAACACATCGGTATACTCCTCGCTCGTGGGACCCACGTTGCCATCTCCCGCTAGCGCTTCCAAAGCCGCATCCGTGATTGATTGGCTCTGGTGTTTGTTTAGACTCTTCCGTCGGCACTTCAACAATATTCCCAACCGTATGTGGTCCAACTGATGAAGAAGATGGCAACTCTGAACTAGGGTGCTTCTTTATGAGGCCCTCCAACTCACCCAAAGTTTCATCAACATCGAACTGCCCGCGGGCAGACTCATCAGCCGATGACACGTCGACAACATCAATTGGTGAACGACCCGCTTCAACAACAGCCACCTCGTCGTCTGATCCATCTCCATCTGTATTTGCGTTGCCAGGAACCTCCGTTGTGTCCATACTGTTCACCAAAGCCTCTAATCGACAGTATGATTTAGGAATCTTCTTCTTATCAACTCTGATGCGTTGTAAGTGCGACACCATCGTGCGAAATCTATTACATACCAATGAAACTTGATCGATGGTAAAGGTAGTCGGCGCCACATTTTTCAGATATTTTCCAACTTGACGTTCGAACTGTTTCAAGCGCAAGAGGCGGCCGCGAGCTAATACCATGCAATATGTCAGTACGTGGCGCTGTCGGTAGAGCCCTGCCCAATCAGGCCCTTGCTGTCTGTTTTTTTGTAAGCCCAAAGATCATCAACCGTCAAATCTTTTGCTTGGATGTGTTCCTCGAGCAAGGATTGTACCTGTGTGTCAGTCAAGTCAACGCTTGGGACACGTTTGCGTTTCCCCATCAGTTCACATGTAAATGAAACCGCTGAATGCGCACGAACCGAAATGTCAATGGACTGCACGCGCGCGCACACACTCACACACACGCAGCAAGCACAACACAACACATTCAACACTTGATGAACAAAGCACAAACAATCACATCATATTTCACAACACAACTCAACAGCACAACTCACACAAGGCTACAGCACGACATGTCAGAAGCCCACGCGTGTGCACCAACTAAACATGTATATGGCAAGCAGAACACAGCAACAACAGCTCAATGAGTCTAGTATCGCCCATCGGTGTCTTACATCCTTCTGGCCCCAAACCATAAGTTGAACAATATATTGACAAATCTTTAACTCATGATTTCGATCCGAATTTATTGATTGTCAATATTTCCAGACCGGAATCATTTATTATTTAATGTTATCTGGGAAATTTGAGATAGAATTTAAAGGTATCTTTAATGTCCTATTGTTTTTCTTTAACTCATTACCGCTATTTCAATAAACTATGATTTCGCCTAGCTAAATTAAAATTATCAACAACTTATTAAAGATCTCGAGCCTGTGGGTTCGTGCTCTTGGACTTCGCAGAACACCATTCCCGGGCTTCGACAGAACTTTCCCGGGCCACAATGCCCGGAGCCAACTGTAGGCCACTTCGTGGTCTTCGAGTTCCCAGAACTCCACTCCCGGGCCACATTTTGAATGCCCGGAGCCAACTGTAGGCCACTTCGTGGTCTTCGAGTTCCCAGGACTTCATTCCCGGGCTACATTTTGAATGCTGAGGCAGGCTGATGCTGAGCCTGAGGCAGGCTGAGGGTGAGGCAGGCTGAGGCTGAGGCCGAGGCTGAAGGCAGACTGAGGCTGAGGCTGAAGCAGGCTGAGGCTGAGGCTGAGGCAGGCTGAGGCTGAGGCTGAGGCAGGCTGATGCTGAGGCAGGCTGAGGCTGAGGCTGAGGCTGATGCAGGCTGAGGCTGAGGCAGCCTGAGGCTGAGGCCGAGGCTGAAGGCAGACTGAGGCTGAGGCTGAAGCAGGCTGAGGCTGAGGCTGAGGCAGGCTGAGGCTAGGCAGGCTGAGGCTGAGGCTGAGGCAGGCTGAGGCTGAGGCTGTGACTGCGACTGCCGTTGCCACTGCGACTGTCATCGCGAATGCGACTACGACTGCGAGAACAGCAGAATTCTACAACTGGATTCTCATCTGAATCTTCAGGGGAATGCTTTCAGATATGCTCCTACACATCGCTGTTAGGTTGCTTTGACGGGATAGTTAGTATGAAGCTCGGAGGCGGGATTTGCAGTTAGAGCTCATTTTGGCTGCTAGTGGTGGTCCCTGGAAGATAACCCGAGCGACAGGCCATTGCCAGAGCCCAGATTCATACGAATCGACGGGAAATTATCAATTGCGTCTTCCTGTTGACATCAGCGGCTCTGAGATCGGCCTGAAGCACGAGAAATGTTC